GTACATAACTTTCTTTTTTTCTAACATATAATAAAGATTTTTTTTTGATTTTCATGTTTTTTCACATTTATCCTATTGTTTTGCATAAAATTTGGTGCGATATAAATTTTGTATGTTGTATAACTATTTCACAAACACAGTCAATTATTTTCTTCAATTAGTAAATGTGCCCAAATTTTTATATGTAAATCCCCTGCTTCGTACATGTTTCACCAATTAATTCAACAAGCATATAATTTCATAAAAAAGACCTTTTTCAATAAAGATTTTCTCTCACACCATTGAGCCTCTGAAAAAGCTGAAAGGAAACGGCAGCCATAGGTGAAGATGGAAGAAAAGGATTGCCAGAAACTGGATACATATATAGGAAATCAATGATCACACAAACCTGTTGGCTAATCAGGAATTGATCAAAGTAATTCACAATCATATTCCATCAATTGAATCTCAATTTCAGAGTTTTTTCAAGGGTCATAACCAGTTCCTTCTTTATACCTTTTAATATAAATTGTAACAATTTTTATCTCTCATAATGCCTGGTAAAATTTTTATTTTAACAATCAATCATAATATTCTGAGATTAAATGTTTATTGGGTGAGAGTGTATAAAATGTTTTGGACAAGGATTCAGGTGGTGTACTTACCTTGACTTTCGAATCAGAAGAATTAGAGACTTGAGATTCAGTAGGTATACTGTTTTTAGGAAAATGGTTTATAATATCCTTTATCAGACAGGTCCTATGTAATCACTGGCAGAAATAAACAAACTTATTTTTGCAACCCTATAAAAAATTTGGTATGGAAAAATGTGAATTTCAGGTAAATTCCATACTAATACAGTTTTCCATACATTTTCCGTACCAAATTTTTTATAGGGTATAATCATGAAGGACACATGAAAAACATATTGACCTACAGATCAGGTAGGTATCTACCAATACCTGCCTGATAACAAGAACGAATCTAGATATCAGTTAAATTTGAAATTGCACTTTGCACTACAAATTATTGTTTGAATTTTATTTATTCCTATTCCCATAGCAATGTGTAAATTTTTTAGCTCTGAAGGTTTTCTGATGCAAGTAATGTCAGGAAGAAATAATTTAATTTCATTATATATCAATGTTCTTGCTGATCAGGCATCAATTTTATTCATATACTTGATATCCCAATTTGATCCTCATATGCTTTAAAATACCAACACAAAATCTCTTTTTGTCTAAACTTTCATTGCCTTGTTGTGCTGTGATCTTACTGGGCACTGTTAAAATCACTTCTAAAGAGAGTTCAGAATCTCACATCAAATGATTTATTAACTTCAGTATTATTATCTTTGGCACAGATGGACAAATCTTGTGTTTACAGTTTTATCATAAGGAAATTTTCAACTGACGGAATTGAGAAAATTATTACACCATCATCACTTTGAGTGTCTTGTTCTTTCTCAATAATGGGCAATGGATAATCAGGATGGAATATCCAAGTTTCCATATTATTTGATAGGTACTTGATCAGGCAAAAGGGAGAGAGGATGATTAGTACAAAATGTCTTGGTTTTCATTCTAATTGATAAGAATTGATGTTGCTTCTATACTAAATTCAAGACTAGAATTAGTTCTGGAAGAAGAATCAGAAATCTGATGCTTCTCATCAGCATGAGCAGGCACATATGCGCCATCACTTTTCTCAATATTTGATAAATCAGAGTTTTGAGGCAAAGCTTTTTCTAATTTAATCTAGATGGCAATAAGGATCAGTCTGAATTTGATACACAATACCTTTCTTTGATTTTTTATCACATTTTAGACAGCCAGTACTGTTTTACTAAAATAAAGTATATGGACCACAGATTAGCCTAACAAATACCATTTTAAGAACAACAGATTACTTGCATTTGGGGCATAAAAGCAGTTTTACACTAATAATCTTTTGGTGAGAGTTTCTGAACCTTCCACTGTGGATCTTCACTCCCAGGTCAGTTTTTCCTGATGAGATTTAGCACGAATTGTCTTATAGATTCCATTTTATCAAATTTCTACTATATTGTTTTTCTATCTTCTATTGCTTTTGAGATTGTTAAATATTGTGATCCAATCAAAATATCTTTTATTTATACTTTGAAATCAATGAATACATTTGTGAAAAATGCGAACAAGAACCAAAGCAATTAATCAAAGGAAAGAAAACTTTACTCACCATTAAAAGAATGAGATAATTAATCTAGAAAATGAAGCAATTGTATTTAAGCAATGCCAAATAATTAGAAAAAAGAAAATATGAATAAGATTACATTTTAGAAGAAGAATTATTATTAGGACATTTTGTATAGCTGGTTACTAATGTTGCTTCTATATCACAAGTTTGACAAATTCATCAATTATTTAAAAAATTGAATATATATATATTTGTAACCATTGAATGTATTTGAATCTTTGGTTTTTTATTCCTATTCCTATTTTAAGCCTGGGTAAATTAAAGTATACATTGTATGATGAAGAAAAGATTAGCTTACAATTTTTAGTTGATAACATAGTGTAGAATTGTGGATCTCTGATTATACTGAAGAGCATTTATCTTTTAGCAAAGTTTTTATAAGACAAAGATAATCCATAAAAGTCCAATATATTTCTTGTAAAGGAATGTTTACAAATATTATTTGTTTTGATTGTTGAGAAAGGATGGTTTGTTTATTGACTCTAGAAGAAGGATTAGAAATATGGCAGCTTTGAAAATTATCTCATGGATGCACAAAATACTTCTGGACTTTCATATTAAATAGCAAAAAAATAATTCTGTGAAAAAACTTTTTGGCAACAATTTATATGAATTCGAGTAACTATCTATGTATTAGTATCAAATGTTTGTAATCAAAAAAAATGGGGACTAGAACTTAAATGATGTGCTGATCACTTCGGTGATCGGCGGCTTTTTTATTTTTTTTCATTGGTTTTGTTTTCTTGTAATTTTTAAAAAAAATTTTTTTGAACGCTATTTTTCCAAATTTGGAAAGTCATTTACCAAAATTTTTTCATACAATAAGGAAGCTTGGCTTCTCTCTCGATTTCTATTTAATATATATAGAGTGTGAGTCTGAAATCTGTAATAATAATCAGAAAGCAATCAATTGAGTGGGTACAAGAGCATTTTTTTTTTTTTTACGAGCAACATCACAACAAGCTTGCTATAAATACTTCTCTTTGCTGCTTATTATTTCTCAGACTACTTGGTCAATACTTGGTGTTTCTTGTTATTTTTTTTTTGTTTAAAAAGAAAAGATAGATAGAGCAAAAAAAACAAATAAGGGTTCTATCTACTTATCTATATATTTATATTTATTTATTTATTAGCTCAAAACTGATTGAACAAAAAATTATTTATCAAAATTTATCAAAAGGAAAAAATATTAGTATCATTTGATTCACTGACTGACTATCTCTTCTACTACAAATCTGAAAAATTAAATATAAAAAGACAGGATAAACATGCCAAGTGCCGGGGTCAAAATATACATCGGCAATCTGCCAGATAATTCAAATCAAGAAGATATCAAGGATCACTTTTCGAAATATGGTACTGTACTTAACATGGAACTTAAAGGAAACTACGGATTCATTGTAAGCGTTTTCTCCTGTGTGTATGGTGATCACAATATCATCATATATTATCTATATCTATATATGTTTATATATATATATAGTGAGCAGCTGCTAATTTGCAAAAAAAAGAGTTTATTATGTGTGTCCAAAGGATTTCTTGTTTATGTGATTCTCCCTTTCCCCTTTTTTTAATTGTTTTTATTTAAGAAATCCTTTGGACTCATATATAATAGTGAACTATTAGAGAAACTACAAATATGTATATATTTATAAAACGGTATACATTAGTACTGACATTAATGAATCATAAAATCAATGAATAAATTAAAAAAGGAATATGAAGATCGTCGCATGTGTGAAGAAGCTATCAGTCAACTACATGGTACAGAATTCAAAGGTTCTCAACTTCGTGTAGAATTTGCTCACGGCGAAAAAAATGGAAACATTAATTTTAATAAGTACAAAGAAAGCAAATCTAGTGACACATGTTTTAAATGCGGACAAGTTGGTCATTGGGCAAGAGAATGTCATAGGTAAGCAACAATGCAAACTTGAACAAGAAAAAAAATAAGGGACAAAAAGCCACTACTGCTTTATTTAGATCCGGAAAATCTAGTAGTTTAAGAAATTAGTCAACTTTCTTCAGATTGAAATATCGCTGTTATTGATGTGTTAATTCATGATTAAAAATGATAATGATAATAATAATAATGTTGTTTCAAAGTCATCATCAACTTATTTAAAGAATTGTCTCTCTTACAAGTTGTGAGAAAAAAAACAAATTGTTCATCCTCTAAGAAGAAATTCTGATGCATTTAAACAATTGATGTCATTTAGTAGTAACGTTCGTGAGTTTGGATCTCGTAAACCTGGTGGTAATCGTTATGAAGATCGTCGTAACAATGAAACATACACTAGAGAGCCATACAACAACAGAGATAACCGAGATAAATATGATAGAGATGAACGATATCCTCCTCCACCTCCTCTTGAACGTGGTGGATATGAACGTCCTTATGAACGTTATGGAAGAGGCGAGCCACCTGAGGTTGAGTACAGAAGAGAGTATCGAAATTATGATAGACCTTATGATCGAGAAAGAGACAACAGACCCTATGATAGACCTTATCCGGAACGTGACTATGAGCGCTATAACAGAGATAACTATGAGAGACCGTATTATCCACCACCTCCACCACCACCACCACTCAGAGATTCTAGAGATGGGTATGAGCGTGAAATATATGATCGTAGACCTTTACCACCTCCAGATGTTCCTCCATATCCTCCTCGAGGTAGAACTGGTTCTCCACCACCGCCACCACCACCTCCTCCACGTAGAGGTAGTTATGACAGGGGAATAAGGTATTTATCAATCAATCAATCAATCAATCAATCAATCAATCAATCAATGGGTAATAATACAATAATTCTATTGATCATTGTGAAAATAAATTCTAAATTGTAATTCATAAGTTTAATAATTATTTGCTATATGAAAAAATTTTTTTAAAGTGGGCGATAACAATTTTATTGTGATTTTTAGGTTTTTAGGCCAATCAGTGTGACATCAGCATGGTGACATTCTTATAATTGGTATGGTGCAAGTCACCTAGTCCCGCAACTTGCTGCGCCTCGTGGCCCATTTTGGGAAAAAACATCAAAACTCAGAATTGTAAGTTATGCTCAAAAATGCAATAAAATCTTTATATCACGTGACCTTTGATGGTGATACAAATTAAAAAAAATATTTATATTAATAATATATATAATGTTATAACATTGCTAAAAAAAAATTTCCTTCTTCATGTGAAGAAGCCAATGCTCCTGCGGAGAGCATTCTTTGAGAGCTTTGCCCTCAAAGA